GGTCCACCTCGTGGTCCTTCTCGCGGTCCCAGCCAATCCAGGGGTGGCCGTGACAACCGTGGAGGCTACCAAGAGCGCAGATACGACTCTAGCCGCCGTGGTTCTAACCGCTGGGACAACAGAGACCGCTATTGATAGAGGTAGCCTGCAAATATCTCGCTGACTACCCGTATTTCTCTGAAAACTTTGAAAGAACAAATTTCCAAATGCATTGGGCGGCGTTCTTTACGGTTACTGCAACTATTCTGTACATTTATATCAGAGAACGAATCTTCTCCTCTCCGGATGTATTTTTATCATGTATGCCGTTCTGTCGCTTCGAGATACCATATGACTTCTCTTCTTCTGATCTGTCTCGATACACCGGGCGTGTTCTGAATCGGGCCACAAGGATTATGATCTAGACTGTTATCTATCTTCTTTATTGGATATATTGAGCTGGGACAGACGGACACCCGATATGTATTATGTATTGCATTAGTCTAGATAGGTTCGTCAGTTTTCAACGTTATAAACACATCTAATTCACACGACGTGCTAGTTCTTTTTCCAGACCTAGTGAAACAGGCAGGCATTCTGTTCCTACTATTCCTATGTTGCACGAGAAAAAACCGTTACAACCCTCCGAGCAAGGCAATCGATTCGTTCCACACTACGCTTAGCAAATACACTATCTCTCCGGAACCTGAAGACTAACTCGGTATGCCGAAGAACTCAACAGGTCCATCGGAAAGTGGGCCGGTCTAGAATGTGAAATAAATTAATTCCCAGCAGAGTATAAATAGTCTAACAAATTACCCACACAGTAATCCTTGGTAACCAGACACAGAAAACAAACCAATCATAACGCCCAACAACAGCACCCAAACCCAAGACAACAAGTACACATATATACAAGTAATAGAGAAAAGGAAAGAAAGCAAAGTCCTTAATTACTATCCAAAACAACCACCTCCGCCTCTCCCTCCCCAAAACTCTCCACTGAAATCGCATCCCCAACATTCACCCCCTCCACAAAAGCCCCATCTCCCTCCTCCAACACCCTATCATCCCTCCCATCTAACCGAATCCTGGCCCCTCCCTTCCGACTTGCCGGCAAATGCACATAAACATTCCTCTTCCGCCGCGACTGCACCGCACCCTCCCCACCACCAACCGCCCACCGGAACGTCTTCCCAGGCTCGAGAATCCCCGCCCCCATCACGAAATCCGCATGGATGGGGATCGTCCCGGAGATTGTGGGGATGGCGGCCTCCTCCTGTGCAGGCGTGGCCTCGGGCCCGGCAGCCAGAGGAGAGATAATGGAGACGAAGGACTGGCGTTTTGCATCGTCGGAAAAGCTCAGCGTGTGGTACTGTGGCTTGAGAGATGATTTCCAAGGTAGGACCCAGATTTGTAGGAAATGAACTGGTTTAGAGGGGTGTTCATTTTGTTCGGAGTGGGCGATTCCTGTTTTTTTTTTAAAAAAAAAAGAAGTCATTTTCATTGGTATCTCTCTTCTTCATCTGCTTCATTCCGAATTCCTCCTCCTCATAAAGGGAAAGATAAAAGTACGATAGGGTATACTAACCACTCCCACCAGTCGTAAACTGGACATCTCCACGCTTCATCCGATAAAACTCCTTCCCCTGAGCACCTTCCTTGCCCTTTTGGATCATGCTATCACGGTGCGTGAGCTCGCCGCTGAGAATGTAGCTGAAGATCTCAGCATCGCGGTGCCGGTGAGTCGGGAAGCCATTGCGCGGCGAGACGCGGTCTTCATTGAGCACGCGTAGACACCCGAAGTGCTGGAATCGATGGTCGAAGTAGTCGGCGAAGCTGAAGGTGTGGTGTGTCTTCAGCCAGCCGCCGTGTTCGGCGTAGCCGCGTTCGCTGGAGCGGCGGAGGATGATCTTTGCGTGGTTTAGTTTGGACATTTCTTTTATTCCTTGTTCTTGCTCTTTTTTTTTTTTTTTTTTTTCCTTCTTTTTTTTTATTTGGATTGGGCTTTGGATGGAGAGAACTGGATGTTTCTTTTGGGGGAGGTTGCGACTGAGCTGGGGGTTTTGGGGACTTTTATAGTTCTTTTTTTTTTGGAGAACGTATAGGGTTTAAATTGCATGACGTATGGTTGGTTGGGTTGGATAAGCATGGATAAGAACTGACTAACGGTGGACTAGTCCCCAAGTCTAAGCACCGCATAAGCATTACCCATAAACCTCCACGTGCATGGAAGGAGGATTCATCGGGAATGCGTCAGATTTATTTGTTTAAATTTTTTCCTTGTCTGCCGGTGAATTTTAACCTGATTATTTTTATTCATTCTTGTTCTTCGTCTGTTCCATGAGCTAAGCAGAATGCGATCTAATTGTTTAACCTTTCACTGTGATTATCGCAAAAAGGACAAGATACCATGACCCATACGTACAGAACAGGAGACAATTTATACAGCAGAAAGGCATGTCATTAAAGGTAAAATCCAAGCATCTATTCATCTGTATAAAGCAACCCACATCTACCCCTATCGGACATCGTCATTCGTAGATACAGATTTTCGGGTCGACTGCGAAAACAAAACGTACAAGGATGATGTCGCCTCAATGGCACATCAGGATATTTTATTGGAAATGAAGCTGAGAAAGAAAACAAGGATCAACCCGTCTAGATGTAGTCAAAATTCCAGTTGCTCTACTCGCGGGCAATCATGTCATCGCGAGCCGGACCGGTACCGATCCATTTCACAGGAACGCCACCCAGTTCACGCTCGATGTACTCAATGTATGCGCGCGCATTGGCGGGGAGATCCTCGTACTTCTTGACGCCCATAGTGTTGCTCTTCCAGCCGGGGAGAGTAACGTATTCGACCTTCACCTTCTCGAGGACCTCGGCGTCGGCCGGGATGGTGTTCTCGGTGCGGGTGCCGTCGGGCAGGATGTAGGCAACGCCGACCTTGATCTCGTCGAAGTCGTCCAGAACGTCCAACTTAGTCAGGTTCAGAGCGGTGTAGTGGTTGATCGCCTGCGAGTAGCGGCAGACGACCAGGTCAAGCCAGCCGCAGCGACGACGACGACCGGTAGTGACACCGAACTCCCTGCCGACACTCTGCAGCTTGTCGCCGTCCTCGTTGAACTGCTCGCTAGGGAAAGGCCCAGAGCCGACACGGGTAGTGTAGGCTTTCACAACACCGATAACGGATTTGATGCTAGTGGGGTTCAGAGACAGGGCTTGCATAGCACCGCCCAGGCCGGTGGACGAGGAAGTTACATAGGGGTAAGTGCCATGATCCAAGTCGAGCATAAGAGCGTTAGCACCCTCGACCAGGGTGTTCGGAGAGTCCTTGTATTTTTGAAGGAAGGCCAGTTGGTCGACAATGTAAGGACCCAGGAGTTTGCGGTATTCCTAAGGTCGTTAATTCAACTTCTGCCGCATACGCTGAAAGGCGGAGGCAAGGAAGCGAGCAGTATCCTACCTTGAATTGCGTAAGCTCCTCCTCGACGTTATATTCCAAATCGCCGAATCGGGCGCGATATCCGGCGTCCAGAGAGCGCAACTTGCGCTCAAAAACCGCCTCATCTAGGATCTCCCCAACACGGATACCCCTGCGAGAAGCCTTATCACTGTAGCAAGGGCCAATACCCTTGCCAGTAGTGCCAACCTTGCGACCACCCAGCTTGGCCTCCTCCAAGCCATCTACAACGGAGTGCAGCTGAAGGCAGACATGAGCGCGGTCGGAAATGAAAATGCGCTTGCTAGCACCCTCGAGACCCTTCTCCTCAAGAGAAGCCAACTCCTTGAAAAAGCTGGGAACGTGAACGACGGTACCAGCACCGATAAGGTTGATACATGAAGAGGAGATCAAGCCAGAGGGAAGAATGTGGAAATCATAGGTCTTGTTACCATGGACAATAGTATGGCCCGCATCTGGAATGAACAGTCAATATCGATGGAACAATGCAAGCTCTCATTAGAGGCTGACTTACTGTGACCGCCAGCGGCACGGCAGCACAGCGTAGCCTGCTGCGCGAGCATGTCCGTAATCTTTCCCTTTCCTATACCATCCGAACGCAATCAGTATGTGTCAATGTCTCGAATGCCTGAATCAAACCGGGGGAGGGCGAATTCCCCACCTTCATCACCCCACTGGCTACCCAGAACGATTGAAACACCCATGATTGCTGTGCAAATATTCAAAGATCGGAATCTACAAGAGACTTTTGAGCCGCATTAGTAACAGTCCTCAATTGGTAATCACAGACGTGTGGCCGATCGAGGTGGTGTATTGGAGAGACGGTGGGGTCCACCGTATGGAGACTGACATGATTCCGATAAACAGGTTGTTTAATTGGCTTAGTCAAATTAAAAACAGACTGGACAATGAAGGCGAATGCAATTGGTTTATTACCTGGTAGGTAGAAGGATCTAACCTGCACCCGAAGTAAATGGAGCAGCGGCGAAAACTTCGCGACCGTCAAAGACCAAAAAGCCGAAAAAAGAAAGGGAGGGGAACAGCGGAGGCAAAGATAATATATGGTGACAGAGGACGGCTATTTCATGTGACTCAGCGCCGGGTGCCGTACCGTTTCGTCATCCACGACTGAATTTTTCCCTGTTGCTTCCCTTCGCTAGCCTTGGTTTCACCATTTCTTACCGTTTCGTCCCGTCATGATTCCTCTCATGGCGGGGTCGTGGGGTCCCTCTTCGGTAGGTGGCGGCCTCAGGCTAGGAGGAGGGGTTCCCGGGCCGCAATCGGCCTAGGGCTCGGGGTTTAGGGTCTTTACAATCACGAAGTTACATCAATCCATTACTGAGTACGACTTGGATAGATAGCCATTAGCTGCTTCTCACAAGTCCACAGTGCGCCGGGCTTAACAATGTATATGTATAATACAACGATACAAATGTCCTCATCCCCTTTCATATCACACGAATTGGAACAACCCCAATGCACCAACGCCCGTCCTATGCAAGAGAAGAACCAAAAAAAAACCCAGAAATCATAACCAACTCCAGCCTTGTATGCTTCAGATGACTTTCCCTCCATTCAAAATCCACTCCCGCGTCTGCCCGAGTTTCAGTATACAATCTCGATGCATCTCCCGTGCGACTTCCCAGTGCTTTAGCACTTTGGCATCTTCATCTAATCCGCGTAGATACGCGCTGTAGCCGCCCTTGCCGCCCGGCACCATCTCGTCGTCACTATCATTACCACCCACCCCTTTGTCATCAGTGTCCTCATCCTGACTGTTGATCTTTAAGCGCGTTGAATCACCAACGGCACTTATCCAGTTCGTTGCCATTCCAGTTTCGATGGCCTCCTGGCGTGCGTTGAAATGATGGAGCATGCGTCGGTTAAAGTGATTCCATTCGCGCATATAAGTATTCATCTCTGCCACGTATCGGTCCCATGCTTTCCGAGGCAGCCCCAGCTGTTGCGAGCCAGCGCTGATTGGCACGGTTTGTGGCGGTTGCGGCCGTTTGGGTGGGTTTGGGCAAATAAGTTCCCGGGGGCGTATATCGCGCACTGTCGTCCTTTGGGGTTTGGCGCGAGATTCAAATGGCAGGCTCGAATGGATGTCTTGTAGATCTTCGATACCACCATCTGTAGTGCTTGTGAACGGTGCTGTCTTGCCCAGATTCTTAAGGTCCAAGTGTTGACCTGTGCGCTTCGTGTCCTCTCCCTTTCCTCCGTTACCACTTGAAGGCGGTGTTGGTTTTGAGGGAGGCACATCCTTGCTCTTGGCTGCTCTATCCGAATCCACAGTCGTATCTTTCGCAGGAGAATCGTCGTCCAGATCCATGGCTTCTCCATCTTCCTCTCCTACTCGAGTCGAGTCTTGCTTATCATGATCTCCATTGACCGTTGTCTTTGCTTCCTCAGCCTCAGTCACAACACTAGCAGCTTGCGGTACAGCTCGCGTTTTGGCAGCGGACCGAGTATGTTTGCGAGGACTTCGTGGACGTTGGGCATTCCCGGGTTGTTGCTGTTGCTGATGCCCGTCGTCCTTCGGCATGGCCCATAGTAGGTCCTTGAACTTATCCGCCCAGTCATCCGCGGAAAATTTACCCTCGGCAAACGCTGTAGGCTGTTGCTGAAACGATGAGCCAGACCGGGAGGGATCATGATTGGATGTACTTGCAGAGTGGCTTGCTCGACCGGGGCTGTTCCTAGTAGCGGTACGCCCGCGGCTGGATGAGCCTTGCTTTGATTGGGGCTGTTCTTTGTCCGAAGATGATGGAGTAAAGAAGTCAAATGTGTTCCAACTAGTCGCTGAGAATGGCTTCCGCAGGTCGTCATGACTCCTACTGTTGAATGTCATATTTGGCGGAACGCCTCGAGATCTAGGGGATTGCGATCTGCACAGGCGAGGGACGACAGGTTAGCTTCAGACCTTGTAAATCACCAATCCAGTACTAATATTAGCCTTACTGTACGAATGGATCTCCTGCTTTAGAAGCTCCAAAAATGTTTCGGGCCGAAGAGGCACTGTCAGAATCATGCCCTATATACCCGTCCCGTTAGTAATTGAATCCTAAGCCCTCCTTCTTTATGACTGGGACGCAAATCCGTCTGCATTGGTGAAGAATACTCACCAGTTCTAGAATCAAATTTTTGCTGGGTGTGAAAGTTAGCGAATCTCTGATGAGGCCGAAGTCTGCCCTTGGGGACCGCCTTGGGCTTGTGTTCCGGATTGACTTCCCCATCATCGGTGTCGCTTGAACTTGTGGACGAGTAGTTCCGATTATGGTCTGTTTTGAACTTGGGGCTTGCACTTCGATGCCTGCCCGATTCTCGGGGAGTCGGGCTGGGGGGGTTTGTTCGCGCATGAGGCTTAGGACTTCCGGGTGATTCACGCATACTTGCAGAGCGACCGAGCCAAGCACTCGAGAAGAATGTTCTTTCTCCTCCAGTACCGGCATACTTGCTACCTGTTCGCTCAACTTCCGGGGTATTTGAATTTTTTTCACGGTTCTGGAAGCCTGCAGCAGCCTTTCTAGCTGTTGGGGAGGGAGCAGGACCAAAGAAATCTCTCATCTGGGGCCGTTCATCTCGAGGAACATTCGAATAAGAAGAAGTGTTCGGGGCCATAGGTTCGTCCCCACCAGCAGACCGCGGGGCAAACCCTTGCTTCTTTTTTGTAGAATGTGCACGGTTGGACTCTGAACCAGCTGGCTTAGGAGATGTCTTGAAATATTCGTAGGCGGATTTGGGTCTTGTTGATTGACTTGTAGAAGAGGCATTGGTTCGGGGCGTAGAACCTGAGTACCCTGAGCGCCCTGTGCGAGGGTCAAACTGGGACCAACCAGACGTGTGGTTCCCCTTCATATCTTGAAACCCGCGATATGCATCAGCCCGTGTCTGTCCTTCATCCTGCATTTTCTCCCACGGTTGTTTTGGGGCTGCCCGCGCATAACTTGCATATCTTTGAGCGCCAGAAGAAGGACCATTATGGAATGACTGTGGTCGCGACGAGAACGATGGTTTCGTAGTTTGAGGTTTTGCCGCAGGCGATGAAGGATAAGTTTTGGTGGGAGCTTTTCGAGGGGAACTGGACTTGGGCGGTCCATAGTACTTTCCGTACCCAGCCCGTAAGCGGTCCGTGTCGTACCTCAACCGTTGTTGAGGATCGCTAAGAATCTCATTTGCAGCTTGAATGGCTTGGAACTTGGAAATAAATTCCACCTCTTTGCCAGGATTCCGATCCGGATGGTATTTAAGGGCTAACAAATCAATGACAATCCAAGCAACCAATCCACGGCCTTCCACTTACCTAGTTTCCTAAACTGCTTCTTGATATCTTCACTGTCCGCATTGGGCGCAAGACCTAAGTCTGCATAGTAATCCCTCCGGACATCCGCCTTTACCATCTTGAAAAATTGCCAGCTTGACGGGCGACTCGTATATTTGTATTGTCAAAGGAAGGTAGATCACGAAGTTCGCACCAAGTTCCAACCGTTTTGTACATGACCTGACACATCAAGCAACGTCGGGACAGCGGGGTTCGGATGGATCAAATAAATGGGGGATCAGCGTATGGACGTCTATTGCAGTGTAGAGCGAAAGAAGCGTCAGGCTATCGAGGGAAAGCCACGGACAAAATGTGAAGCAAAATTGAAGAGTGAAGTGCTTTCTCCCTTTTCTCGATTGAACTCAACTCGTGAACGGAACCCTCCCAAGCAACCGAAGAAACTGCCCGTAGGTTGTATACCTCCAAGTCTCTGATTAGTCGTTCCGACGCAGCATCTGACTTTGGGACTTTGTGTTGGATGTCCTCATCGATTGTTTGTTTAGCAGCGGAGGTGGAGTACGGCGAACTTTTTCCTTATCGTTCTCGATAAACGGACATGATCTTCCCAATCAAGGCACCCGAAAACACAAGAAAAACAAGACCGTTGCGGGGAAAACAGCGGAACGTAAGCAAGAACTAGTGGCCAAATTATATGTACACAAGAAGAACAGATAATAAGCACCGATAAGGGGGAGAGATCTGAGATCAAGACAGGGTGCAGCTGATCTAGCAGGAGCTAAAATAGGTCAGTTTGCATGGCCAAAGCGTCGATAGATCTTAAAGATCACGAAGAGCAAACTGACTCGGAACACCTCTGGGATAGCTCTTCCTCAGGAATTTTCAGATAACCATCGAACCTAAACCAGACAACACTCATATATAGTTACCATTCAAGGGCCCGGTGGCATGCGCTGGCCAACGAAGGAAGCAAAAGCGGAGGTCCAGTTGTCAAGTTACTGAAGTGAGTTGAATAGTTTGTTTGATTGTTTGGGGTTTAGCGTTGGTTGTCCCGCCAAGCAACAACTCAATCGCCGAACTCTTTTTGGAGATAGTTCGTTGCTGCCCAATATTTTATGGCCTCGTCTCTGGCCCTGACAGGCTTAATTTTATCTCTACCCCACGACAGGTCCATATTTATTCGGAAATTATTTGGTATTTCTTCACGCTCATTGGGCCTTGGCAGACAGGATATCCAGGAAGAAGAATGCAGCACAATAAGAAAAGAGAGAAAAAAGAAGCGAAACAAAGAAAAAAAAAAACTATATACGGCATAAACACATATATCCAAGATCCAACCATCATTGAAAATATAACAAAGAGGATCTGCCTCGTAAGAGCATTTCCATTCCGGTGTCGGGAGACTTGCCGATCAGTGACAAGGGAAAGTAGCCAAATATAAACAAACAAACTGTGGAATTTGAGCAAGTACACAGATCAAGCTCAACCCTACCTTAGCCATCAGCGGATGGACCGGCTCCCGAGCCCCCAAAGAAGTATCCTTCAAGAAGATCATAGTTGGCATTCTCACTCCAGTCGTGTTGAAAGTCGACTGCCATGCCGAAACCCAGGTCGATTCCAACACTATGCCCAGCCCCGTGTCCTAACGAGGGTACTGCCTGTAAATCATAATCGGGGTTTTCGTCAGACCCTAGAGGGACTTGGCCCTCTGCACCGGCTACGTCGAAGTCTAGGAAATCCAGGCTAATTCCGGTTGATGAGACCTCTTGGTCTGTTGGTTGGAATTGATGATGGCTAGGATTGGCAGTAACGCTGCTAGGTGACCCACTCTGCTGTGGAGAGTTACCATAAACGTACTGTTGCTGTGTCTGTGGAGAGACGGGGCTCTCGTAGTTCCCATAGTACTCCATGGATGGTGTTCGCTGAGTCCGGTTTGGTCGCTCCGAGGCGAAAGTAGAGGTGGAGACGTCAGAGAATTCCGGTCGGCCTGAGTAAGACTGCACCGATCGCCTTGTGCCTTGCCGCTCAGGGACAGAATTATCGCTGAAAAGATCACCAAGATTCATATCGAATCTCGGAACTGGTCGTGTCGACCGCGTCTGCGTTTGCCGTCTAGATTGGCCAGGGGGAGCCCTCTGTCGTTGATCCATTGTATAGCGGCCATTCTGTCTATTTCGACCAGCATAGATTGCATTGGCGTGCTGATTTATTACGGCATTTGCTTGGAACCGAGTCAAGTCGACCTGCGATCCAAATCCAGTGGTAGATAAAGACATCTGCACCGTGGCTTTACTCATCCGCTCAAACGCATCGCGACAGGCTTCTGCAGGCGGACATTTGTGCACTAAATCTCCCAAGACAGACGTGGCAGCAAGCACTGTGAAGTCCACTTCGTCTAGTGTCTATGATACAATTAGCTTCTATAGTCTTTATTTTGCATTTACTTGGGAGACAAACCAAGCGACTTCTAACCACGGGCGAATGCCAGATTGCATATAGAAACGAAATACCTGCCATGAAGATGTGGTGTGTAGCGAGATACGTGTAATTCACCAAGCGCACACGATGCATTTGACGGTATATTCGAATAACCTTTTGTCCTGCTTCGGCCACTTTATAATAGATATCGTCTTCATCATCGGCTTCGTCTACATTAGAGAAAGAAGGACTGGAGACATCTTCAGCGGGTGTAACTTCATCTGCTAACTCGGCGGGAACAGTTAGGCTCTGTTGGTACAGCATGATGACAGCTTGCCAATAGTTCAATTCGAGAAACTCCACAGAGAATTGCACGCCTGTGTCTCGCTTCGTCGGAGCAGTCTGCTGCCATTCAATCAATCGCCGGTGAATATCCTTGCGCCAGGAGCGGAATGAGTCAAAGCCCTGCAGGAATGGGGATATGAGATCAGATCGCGTAAATCTCCTTGCCGCATAAGGCACCTTGTTCTTCGCAAATCGTGATTGCTGATGTTGTAGAACATCTTGAATCTCAGACTGAAGCACTCTTAGCTTAAAGTAATGATGTGCTGCATGTTTATAGCTCGGAGCGCCTTCTGGGGGCATCACGATCCCTGACTTGGTGATGTATTGATCCTCCAACAAGGACGGAAACTCAGTGCTAATAGCCTGGTCGCTGATCCCAAAAGGGCGGCCAACACAGCAACTAACCAGGCGGTCGAAACTATAGACACACCACCACAAGCGCCGGCGAAGATCACGAACCCACTCCCGACGCCCTCGCTCACGGGTATCAATACGCGGCTTGTCCCTATCTTCGGCTTTCCGTTGTGGATGGTCAAGACTCTCATCCGCCAATGTATCAATGCCTGTTCCATCTTCGTAATGTAGACCAAGGTCAACAGCCAGCCGCATCGCAACGCCAACAATATACCATAGTCCAGGCGCAACGGGCCGTAGCAGGGCAAAATTGGCGAGGAGAAGCACTGCCTGTAGCTCCTCTAACGCTCCAAAACCGTCGTTTGTAGAAGGAGCACCAACGAAGGACTCTAAGTGAATGATTGCCGAGGCATGGTACTCCTCGGGTTGGTATTGATGATTTGACAGTCGGGGCCTCTTCGATGTGGACGGCGAATGGTCGCGCCCGTTTCCTTTCTCGTCCCCTGGCTTATCCTCGAATATAATACCAGCACCAATAGCGAAGACAATGTTGAGCATGTAAAGACTGCGAGGAGAGCGGCTTTTTTCATCAACCGAGTAAGTGCGATCAAGTAGTTCCATAAAATCATTGCGATGGAGAATGGGTATCTGAGGATTAGCATGTTCGAAATAGAGGCCGACAAGCTTCTCAGCCAGTTCCCGCTCTGGAAAGGCGGCGCATTTCATCATCGGTCTCGTCTGAAGACCGAAGAAAGAATCACGCCCCGTGCTCCCAGCTGTACCAGTAGCGCTATGGGGTAGGCGTTCGCTTGGGCGCATGGGACCTCGCTCCGATGCATTTCCTGGGACAGAGCTTTTCACTGCAGCAAACACGACCCGGGCAAAAGAAATGCCAGATGTTGATCCTAAATACCGAGGATCAGAGGTTCCTTGGACCGACACCATGCCAATATTTGATACCAAGTTATGTATTCTCCAGTTATCTTCTTTTTCGGGATCCGCGTTGTCCTCCGCGTCTTGCCCGTTCTCTTTATGTTTGTCTGCTCTCGATACCGAGCCTTCTTTCTCCCCTTTCATTCGCATCAGTTTGTCGCTCCCGTCAGATGTCAGCACTTCAGCACCTGCAGGCGCGTCCGAGCCAGCCATTTTTGTCTGAGCAGGATCATGACCCGCTTCCACCTTAACCGCTTCTTCTTCATCGAAAGCTACTGCTCCCTTATAATCGATTTGATGTTCCATCAGTACCTTCTCCAGGTATGTCACGCGAGCCTCCAGGAAGTATACATAGCTCCGTGGGATCTCCCTCTTGGTGATGGGATCATATCCGACACATCGGACGCCGGCTTTTTCGCAGGACTGACATCGAGGAAGCCGTTGGTCGCAGCGGTTCTTGCGCAGGCGGCAACGGTTGCAGGCCGACACATTGCGGAATGAGGAGGAATTCGAGGCGGGGGCGGCGGAGGAAAGGTTTGCCGGTGTATGCTGATGAGATTGCGCCAGCGACTCAGGGTGGATTGAAGAAGGCTCAGTAGGCGGGCGTGGTCGTTTCCTCCCTATGGAGGTCGGCGAAGCCGGGGAAGTAGGGTTCAGCATGACGGGAAAGGTACGGCGACAAGAAGCGCCAACGCACGAGCATGTCTCGCTGTTGGAGTTCTGCGGAAGGTCGAATCAAGTGGGGAGGTGCACCGTAAATCCAGAGACGCAGCAACATTCATGTTAAAACATGCGCCGACTTCTCTTCTCTGGCCGGTCCTATTTTTTGTCTGCACAGAGGCTTAGGAGATGATTGCCGGGAAACTATCTCCTCAGTTGAACGGCGATCCGCGGGCTTTATTAGTTTCCGAGATGATTGTCAGGGCCTGAGGTTCTGTTCGGTATCTGTCTGGAGGGCAGGACAGTCGCAGCCCATGACGGTGGTAGACCGTCACCACACACGCAGTTTCAATTGTCGCGTAAGGCCCGGCTAATTCGAGACAAAGTTGAACAGAAAAGAAAAAAAGAAAAGAAAAGAGAAAAAAGACTGGAGTTCAAGATAGACCAAACCGGTGGAGCTGGCAATGGGGAGTCCACTTACTTCGGTACTAGTAAGAATGTATGAACCGTGTAAAGCTGGGGTCGGATGGACGACTAGATGAGAAATCAGTCAATATGCGACATTGCCTGAGCCACCCACAGTGGACGAAAACAACTGTTTGAATTCACAGCAATGCAAGGTCTAGATCCACTCTACAGCATAGAAACAGTGTCGGTGGACATCTGAAACAATTCCCTAAAAGGAAGTCTACCAGGCCAGAAGCACGGACGGTGAATGACAATACCGTAACCAAGCACTACACGTGACTCTGTAATATCAGATTCGAGTTCGATTATTGGTTACTGATAAGAAACATCTATGATTTTGTCAGCACCAACCAAATTAATTACGCGTTTCCATGAGGGTACACAGTGGAGTCTCAATGAATACTTGGCAGCAACACCGTTCCTTTAGACGATTAACTAACCTATGATAATTATATTAATGTCAAAACTCTTCGAGGTGATCGCCTCAGTACCTATTCGCTCCCACTACTCTCGAGCTCAACTGTCGTGGTTGTCCGGTTGAGGAATAGTTTCCCGGTCTACCCCCTGTTCTTCCCTCGATCCTACTAGTCACTTTAGGTTATTAAGACTGTATGATATGCGCCCGGGATTCATATGGGATATCAATTAAGCCATACACTCAATCCAGCCCGGCATATTCATTCTTCTTACATACGTCTGCATGGCCCATTCCTTTAAGGAGTCCATCTCGTGTCATACTAGTAGTGGATGAAGCTTTTAAGATCATCAGGATAAATTACCCGGATCGAGAGAGTATGTGTGCACCCACTAAACCTGGCCCAACTTTTCACTCAATCACCAAAGCAGAGCTACAAATTTCCTCTAACATTGATAGTACATACTATAGAATAGAAACTAAAGCTTTAAGAGGGGCAAAAATGGTAGAAGGACTGCTGGCTGTTAGAATGAGAGATTCGGTAATCTTATATAAGGGAACCACAACGAAAACGGGATTGATTAACTACCGAGATAGAAGCCGACCAGGCGAACATCTGGTCTGAATGCTCCCAGCATAGACTTTACTCTATTGGAATGTTGTCCGATGAGGTGCAGCGTTGGGGAACGCTGAAGCTTATGTAAGGTGCCAAAGTACGAGGGGCAATGCAGGCCATCGCAGAGCGGGGCCAAAAATGAAGATATTCACAAGCATTGCGGGCACCGAGTCTACAGGGAACAACACGGAGATGGAACGACCGGAAAAGTTAAGTCAAGTCAAACAGGGAGAATTCGAGGGATTGTTCGTCCACCTTGTTCTCCAGAAATAGATTCTGCGCTCAGATGAGTTGGATATATGGTAATAACAAAAGCCTCCCAGATGCATAAGCGTGCCCAACCCAACAATGCTCAAAAGATGATAAAAAAAAAAGGAAATAGCCAACCCCATGCTTTTAAAGATGCATCCAGTCTATGAAATGCGCCTTCACCCAAACTCATATCATGATGTAACACAGAAGGAAATACACCAAAACGAAAATGAACTAAACCAAATCAAAGCTAGCCACCATCATATGAGATATTCAATGAATCCAGAATGCAGGTTAAACAAATGTATAAAATCAACAATATATGGTTCAAGGGGAGGGGGGGAATCAGAGAGTAAAAAGAAGTAAATAGAGGGGAAATAAATCCAGCAAGCATGATGTCAGATAAAAAAGAGACGTGGTAAACGAAGTCGAATGTCATGCGGAGTCGTGTTAAGGTCACGTCATGCGAAATGGCCAACTCAATCATGCTCGTACTTGGCGAGAGTTTGTGTCAAATCGACATTGAGCATTTCAGAATCGTCAACACTAGTCCGTGCAGAGGACAATAATCTCCGCACTTCTTCTGGGGTGGCGTCCTCCTTGCCCGCAGTGTACGAGCCCCGCAGGTTGGCCTCGCTTGCATTGCATTCATGCTGCTCGGTGTGCTTGGAATCGGTCTTCGAGTCGCTCTCCTCCATCCAGAAGCTCTGGATGGCTCCAATTATGCAAACAATGCCACAGGCCCACCAGGCCAGCACAGAGTATCCACTCTCGAGACCTTTCGAGTGAAGTAGGCCAGTTACGGTTGGGCCGAAAGCACGGCTCAGACTTGCCGTCGAGGCAGCTGCACCATTAATGGATCCAAGCACTTTGGAGGATGGAGCAGCATTGGCGAGCAAAATGGCGGTTGACGGGAAAGCGATGACATGGAAGGTGATCTTGCTGATCAAGGCAGCATACACCGCGGTCGTCTGAAGCGCTTCGGGGAGGAGAATGAGGTATGGAACCAACAGGTAAAGAGGGGGCCAGACAAGGAGCACGAAGCGGAAAGTACGCAAAGTGCCAAAGTGGCGGACAACGAATGGAAACAGCCAGAGCTGGGCAATCATAGAGTAAACACCCTGCACTGCGAGCATGAAGCCGATTGTCTTCGTGGGCAGACCGAGGCCTCCAGTAAATTTGAATGGCAATATGGTATCATCGTCGGACTTTGGGGTGCTTAGGAAAACGGGCATCAGCTGATCAAAAGAGACACTGTGGCTGTAAGGAATGTTAGTATGAACATCGGGCCTCATTCTGCTAGATCGGAAAATGCTCGGGGGTGTTACTCACTATGCAAGGATTCCGTAGGCAATGATGTTGAAAATAACTTGTTTAGTAAAAGCCTTAGGAGTTCCACACTTCTCATTCTTCACCAGGCCTTCAATGTCGTCATCATCGGACAGATTATCCAAATCCTTCATCGGCGACAACTGCGGGGAGGACTCATTGCTCTTGTACTCAGGCGGGGGAACATCGTAGTCGAGATAATCCGCTTCCTGTGATTCAACCTTGATATCCGTGTCCTCGGTCAGCTGTACAGAAGATCTGCGGCACTTTCCGATGAGCCAGTTGCCCAACTCCAAACCAAGGTCCCGGTTGTACTTTTTCTCCGGATGGGTCTCCTCCAAAAACAGGAAGCCAACCACGATGCCGAACAGTAGAACGACAACGCAGACCACGTTGGGCAGCAGAAATGGGAAAGTTTCGAGGATAGTGCCGCGCAGAAATAACCAGGGATAGTTTTCGCACGGCTGTGCCAGCGCACCGCCCATGGCGGGTCCGATGATCGATCCTAAGCACCAAACAAACGGCATGATCGAGTAAGCCCGGGGTTGATGTTCCTTGACCGTTACAATCTCCGCAACGGTCGTCTGAAGCACTCCGATGTTTCCGTTCAGCAGGCCACCTAGAGCTCGGGCGATCATTGCAGTGGGTAGGTTCGGGGCAAATCCAAACACAATCATACTGATAGCGGTTCCGATCAGCCCCATGATTAGGACTGGTTTTCTACCAATCTTGTCACTCATGCGCCCCCAGAACATGCCTGTAGAGAACTCTGCGAATGTAAATGCAGAAGTGATCATGCCCGCGTAAAGGGCAATTTTGCGATCATTGTCTGTCACGTGGAATGATTCTACCATGTGGTAGACATAAGGAAAAATGGACATAAACGCAATTGGCTCACAGATTCGGCAACATGCTTGTCAAGCTGTCAGTGATAAATTCGGGGTGAAGGAGAATCATGAATTGATAAAACATAAAGGAAAAGGAAAAGAAAAAGATAGCAGCAAACAGATGTTGCCACACCTGATACAATACACATTCGGATCTTGAAATTGGGCGAAACTCCAGTATCCACATACCTAACACAAAAAGTTGGCGTACAGGAAAGGCAGACCAATCACCATCCTGGCGCTGTAGACCACCTGAGAGACGCTTGAACATTTTGGCGGCGGAAACTCTTTTCCAGGATTTGAATGCCCTTGCGAGGAAGAGAAGGGATTTTAATCAGTCTCTTCCTTGCTATAGGATAGCAATTGACGGAAGATATGGCCGAGAGGAATGTGTCTCCGTTCCAGATCCTCCGGTTGTTCTGAAGGGAGGGAATGCAATGATGATAAGATCGTTGAAAACGGTAGTACGTAGAAACGTTCTCTTTTATTAAAGGGGCTTCAGCATATCTTGCCCCTGGCGCAATTTAATCTCAGTGGTGTTCTGACCGAATACCACCTCGATTGCTTTTTTGACAATTGCAACAGTAATTGCGCAAACCCTGATAGGGGACCAATATAGGAAACACCAAAAGGGGGTATTGAGAGGAATGGAGATTAAAAAGATGGGATCTTCCGAAACAATGGCGGCGTAAAAGGTAACAGTAAGAAGGAATCAAAAGTGTTACCAGGTGTTGGAAGGAGGTTAGAGTCAATAGTGATTATAGTTGTCTTCAGGTCCGGTGGATTGAAGGATAGTTGAGAAGGTTAAGGGCCGAAGCAGAAGCAGAAGTCAATTATATTGGAAACAAAAATGATATATATCTCTTAGAAAGAAAGAAGGAGAGAAGAGGGAAGGGAATAAATTATAAAGGGAGGGATCTGGACGGGAAGTGGGATAAATGAAGTATTTGAAGTGGATAACTGAGATATGTGATCAGGCGAAAGACTAAAAGCATCAAACTACAGTACATCGATCATGACAATACTATGGAGCCCATTTCGGTTACAGCTGTACAAGAGAGAGAGAGCCTGGTGCGTGATGCAGCACAGCAAACAGTTGAGTAGTAACGGGACCCACAATAAAAGTATTTTTTAATTTTTAATTTTTAATTTTTTATTTTTTTAAATTTTTTTTTAATTTGTTTTATTATTAATTTATTATTTTTTTTTCAGTTTTAGTTTTTTTGGGTTAAAGGTGTGATGTTTTCAGGAGATAAACCGGCAGAAAGCAGATTATGGATCGGGGCCGTCCGACTAAAGCGGGAGACCAACCAGACCTGACAATGGGACGTACCATATCCACGGAAGGGAGTCCCAGACTCCCAGTGCCTGTTGGAAAGGGGTGGGGCCAATAGCAAAACATAGTCAACAGAAGGTTACCAATCACTCCAGAGAAATGATTCATTGGAGGTCAGGTACTTTTAGGTACCTATTTTGCTTACTTCGTCTGGCGTTCAAGCAAGAAAGGGAATAGTAGCCCGGTTCCTCATCATACGCAAGTATTCGTTCCTTTTCCTGACGGCACTACACCGTAATTGCCCGTGGTATTATAATAATACCACTGGAATATTAGACAATAACTATCATCTTGAGAGTCGTCACCGTCGAATCAAACAGAAGCTGTGCTGCAGCAGGATCAAATTCCGATTAGAGTCGGGCTAGCATGCTATAGTAACAGAATATTATCCCTCCCACACCACATAGATGGGGTTTAAAAAAAAAACCAAATCAAATCAAATAATACAGAAAACAAAAGAGAGGCAGAGAAAGAGAAAGTGGCCCAGCTGAGAGCCTCCGCCACAGATTGACCGGTAGACCCATGGCCCTGATCCCCGGGGCCCGGGGAAGTGAAAGAGAGTGTCTCTAGAAGCGCGCTAAACAGTCCCATAAGGCAAGGATGATCAGCTTTCCAGAAGTCTGGTTTAGTGTGACTTAGTGAGATGATAGATCTAACAGCCCTTACCCACTTTCTCCTGTCCCGCCCCCGAATAATTAGGTCTCCTCAGGAATTAAAAATAAAAATCAAAAAAAATATAAAATAAAAATAAAATAGATAAATAACAAAAAAATCGAAGGAACTCCGTATGCATTCCGTATGATGTACGTATTGATGCTGTATTGTCCTCAATACATCCTCCTTTCTCTCCTTCTCTCTTAGTATTTTGACCCACTACCGCGGAATTCAAGTAAACCCAGCCGAGTGCCCACTCTAATGCTGGATAATTCAACTATTTTGTAAATAGGTCAAAGATCGATGATTTCATTCATACTGTCTAAATTCTTACTCTTTCAATCGCGCACGAACAGGGATGTACTAACTATTACCTGCGAGGCCGAGATGAACAAAGAATATATACAAGTCACACCACCAAGTCCGACATACAACAGGAAATTAGCTTATGCTCAGTGACAAGCATTTAGCAGTCACAGTGGCGAGGTAACGGGGAGAGATAAAAACTTGACTTCAAGTACAGTTAATATGCGGTGTACTCAGCCAGGGCAAGCGGTAACTGCTACGATTTGATTCAGTAAATTAGGTCGAAAAAAGAAAAGGAAAAGAATAGAAGGGGGGGGAAGATCAAAAGAAAGAAAAAGAGGCTAAAATGATCTGACATCGAGGGGGGATCCCAAAAAGAGATCAAGAATAAGAATTAAAATAAAATAAAATGAATAATTACGGAGTAAGAAAGGGAGTGGGTCCGATAATTGTAGACTGGTAACGGTGGAGGAGAGAAGTGAGCAATCGACAATCAGCCCTTACGGTGAGAAAGGCGCTATTGCTTCCTGTTACCCTAAGTGGTCCGGGAACGGGTTGGTAATCGGGAGACAGGGTGATTGACGTCTACTGCTCATCTAAAGCTGATCTCCCCCGTTAGGAAAAGGAGAATAGAACAATCATAAAGATGAAATCTTTTCTTGATTTTTATTAAAAAGGGAGATGAGAAAGAGAGAGAGAAAGAGAGACAAAGCTAGAAGAGAAAAAAAAAAAAAAACAAAGAAAATGTTGGTAATTTTACAGTTCAAATTGAATAGCTCGGATAATTCCTGCCGTAAGGTTGTTTCGGCCATAGAAATTGGTTGGATCTCCAATGGCATGAGGGAGCAGGTAAGCATAACCCTTCGATATTCTCCTGTACTATAATAGTTGGGCAAGAAAATCTTCCGGAGAACCTAGTTGCTCTCCATATGTACTGCTACATGGAAGGGCTTATTAGACTTTCTACCATCATACGTATGATAATAACAGTACAGAACCTGGGGCAGGAGCAGGAAGGGAGAGCTCTTGAGGAAAGGGCCAAAAGCGAGGAGTTGAGCTGTGTTGCAGCATATAATTTGATGCTGATTTACGGTGCAGTCAAAACTCTATTTTCCCCTTCTTTTTGGGTTTTGGTCGGCCGGAAGAACAACAACACCTTAAAAAAAAAGTCTCTCGTCCATTGAAAGGGACAGCACCTTTTGGGCAAATATCTTTGACGTCATTCTTGTTCAGTGTGAATTACCCGCATGTAGTGGGTACAGCTGCCAGTCTGCTGGGGTTTTCGCGACACTAAAGATGATTATCGCAACAACGACTATAACTCATACCCGACGGTCTTCCATGTGTTGCATTCCAAGGCATCTATATAGGCTCTTCCAATCATAATGATAAAGTAGACTAATTTCAGTTAAAAGAGGTCGGTAGAGAACGAGGGGGGAAAAGAAATAAAAATGGAAAACTGGAAAATAAAAAACAGAGGTGTTAAAGCCACCTGTCCGCCCCGTTATCCTGGATACAGGCGCTAAGAAAGGCGGAGGTGGGAACCTGTACCTTCCGCCTAAGGACCAAGGGATTGGAATTCTATTGCAGATCCTGCTTGCCAATACAGGCCCCATACCGTACGGACCAGGGTCGGGTACCTCATACAAGTACATACATACCTCAATGATACGTAACAGCTGCAAAAGGTAAATAGTCTAGTACATGTTATCACATAGGCGGTGGATCTCATAGTGCCTGTCTTAGTGTCATCCCCGATCTGGAGCCACGCGAGCCAAACGGGGTGGAGGAAGAGGAAAAGAAAAACGATAGAAGAAAGGATGCTGCAAGTGATCTCTTGACTTCTCACTGGGATGTGACAGGACCCATAGCCATTTAGAACAATTTCTATAGCAGCGCCCAAAGGAATTGACAGGAGAAGCAGCTACGACGTCATCGTACTTTGACAGGTAGCTATCCAATCGATCGGAGTTCAAGCAAATTGGTTTCAAAGGAATAGGAATTGTGGAAGAGAATTCCGGAAGTCAACTTGAAACTGAATCTGGTGATCCAGTGTAGCCGTTGTGTTCACAACAGCCCATACACCACCCCTACACATGGTTCCCACGAGGGAGGATGCAACCAAGAGATCCTATACGGTGAACGAGATTCGTAGGTCTCAGGGAACACTTCCCAATGGGGTTAAACAGGCTGACCGAGAGCAAACAAAGTGAATTTCCTCAAGACCGACTGTCACGAATATTTCCCCCGCCCCAAGTAACCAACAGGTGCCACATTGAGGCCAATGCCAGTGCTTCCCTGGAGATCCCGATACGTTTGCTCATTCATGCGGTGACGTACCAAATTCCTTTTTCTTCTCTCCAGGCTGTTTGAAATAATTACTCTTCTAGGTTTAGACCCGTTCTTTACTCACATACCATATGCAACAAATGTATATCGAAGAGTGCTTTCATTACCTTCTTTACATATATAACTATATATATTATTGGTTTTCAATTGGGATTAGGAGTAATTCCTTTGTAAGAAATAATAAAATGATAGAGGAAGTGTTCCCCGAGTTTTTAGTGTTGGCGGAGGATGCGAAGATGTCACAATACATTATCTGGCGGTGTCGGCGCGTCGCTCTTCAAATCAATGTATGTTACGCAGGATAGGACGATTGAAAACATCGTGTCTCTCTTACGTTAGCACCGTGTCCATGTCGGTGCCCATTCGGACGGACCGGAGGGAAAAAACAAGAATAACCGATGAGATGTCATGGCAATGCACCTAACGATGTATGCATCAATGCTAGTCATGTGAACCTCACTTGTCCGGGGTGTTACTGCCCATGGGTATTGGGCGTTGTTAATTCTCGGGGATTATTGGGCCGTTGAAACCAGTTGAGACGTTGGCACTGACTAGCAGGAGTCATTTGAAGGTCAAGCCAGTCGCATCGGTGAGTTTGTTGGCAGCTCAACGAAGAAGCTCTGCAGCAAGAATGACTTCAAGTTGCTTCTGCGATGAAGTGGAGGTGAGGGGCACTCAGGGATCGTGAAATCACCGGCAGTAAGCGGTCAAGAGGGAGAAAGGAGGGGCTTGCAGATTCCTTGGGTACAACCCTCCATGCAGGGCACATTTTGACAGCATCTGTCCAGATCCTGGGCCATTATTACTTGTTGCCGCAGTTTATTCTTGCAGGCAACTGTTATCATAGGTCGGCCAGGGGAACTACGTCCTATTAGCTTGGGCAGGAATGAAATGGCGGGTAAATCCTGATACAATCAGCCTTAACGTATCACTGGTGGACCTTGTCGACCTTGCAGGAGGCCGATCAGGATCAGAATCAAAATGTACGGTGAGTAAGTAATAAATGATGACCTGATCGGATTACTCGGTACACAGCCACAATAATGGACTGGTAGGTAGCCATCTACAGGAAACGAACATTCGTGGGATATGGAGATAGGATAAAAATTACCTCGGGCATGTACGTGTATTACTCTACCTATACAGCTCGTCATGCAAGCTAATTCATTATCTACTTGCTGACTCTCACGACTCTGCTGGCTTGAGGCGGGGTTTGGGTTGCCCCGCGATAATAATGGATTGCGCGTAGGGTATTACCACGATATGGAAGAAAATACCGCAGCGTCATGCCACTCTGTAGTTGCTCTTGAGAGGTCATAGCGAGGGTCTTTGGTCAATTTTCTCTTGCTGCTCAAATAATGGCGTTAACCTTTTAGGGGAGATGAAGTCTACTTACAGTCATTCTTACTTACGTGCAAACTTGGTCCGAGAACTATCATTATCCTGTCCTGCTGTGTTCGGTACAGCGAAGACACTTCTTGATCAGTGTTATTTTTGCCCTAAATTAACAAAATTACAGACCACTGATAAGCTCCATATTGCAGCTCTCAAAACAACAAGCCACAATTTTTTTTGTTGGATGGAGGTCATATTGTTTTGTGGATCATTCTAAAGCCGCAGCTCCGTTCCAGACAGTCGGGACCTGACGTCGGGATGCCCTGAAAGTCTGACAACCTCGGATTTGGTTTTCGTACTATCAATTTTTATTTTATTTTATTTTCTCCTTTCGCTCCAGTAAAATGGCACGGGATAATAGTCAAAACAGATACATTTAGCATGAAATAAAATAAGGGACGTCAGGGAAGCGAAATACAAAAAGAGCAAAGAGAGAGAGAACTATTTCACCGCCTTTTCCTAGAGATGTCAATTGCTTAATCTCCGACCGAATAACAGAATGATTGATTGGCTTCGATGGGAGGCAGGCCGGTGGGTGGGTGTGGACCGATGTTTCATGATGATTTATTTACTCCATATTATTACTGTTGCAGTATCTGTGTAACATGTGTCGAATCTTTCTAGAATCAATGTGGCATTATCCACGATCAGTTAGCCGGGAAATCAGCCCACCTGCTCTACTCATTTATCGTAGTAGATTCAGGCGAGGCAAATGCGAGTGCGGTTGTGGCGGGTATTGTGTGTGGCTCTTGTTAGGGATGGCTGAAGGTCCTCAGCTTGCATGTTATGACAGCAGCCATTCGTAGTAGCTGAGCTAAATTTACAATACTGTAGAGCACAGGGTCGTATCAGAGAAGGAACTAGTGTAGTTAGTTCTCACTTCAATGTTTTGAGATTATTCCTTCGGACTTTCCCTTTCTCTTCCAATCCTGCCTTACCATGGTT